TAGTGGCTCTTGTGAACCTTGCCCTGTTGATCTGGGCCCTCTGGCACCACATGTACAGAAAACTGTTTCTAACTTGGGTTTTAAAATGGACAGTGATTTTAAATTAGAGTCCCAGATTGGAGCGGTGGTCAAGACCAGTTTTTATCACCTCAGACAGCTGGCTAAGGTAAAGACCATCCTTACAAAACAACAGCTGGAAACAGTAATCCATGCCTTCGTCACCTCTCGGCTGGATTACTGTAACGCTCTTTACCTTGGAGTCAGCCAGTCCTCCCTCAGACGTCTCCAGTTGGTCCAGAACGTTGCTGCTCGGCTTCTAACTGGAGTTCAAAAAAGGGAGCACATCACCCCCACTCTGGCTTCACTCCACTGGCTGCCTGTTCATTTTAGAGTTCATTTTAAAATTATTTTATTTGTTTTTAAAAGTTTAAATGGTCTTGCTCCATCCTACCTCTCTGAGCTGCTTCACCCATACTCTCCTGCTCGGTGCCTCAGATCAGCTGATCAGCTGCTCCTGGAGGTGCCGAGGTCTAAGCGGAGGCTCAGAGGGGACAGAGCTTTTTCTGTTGCTGCTCCAAGACTGGAACGATCTCCCTCTTCCCATCAGACAAGCCCCTTCACTGTCCAGTTTTAAAACTCTTTTAAAAACACATTTTTACTCCCTGGCTTTTAGCACACACTGAATTTTGATCAGCACTGTTTTTATTATTTTTATTGATCTTAATGTTTTAACAACTGTTTTTATGTGTTTAAATGTTCTTGATTTTATGTGTACAGCACTTTGTGGCAGCTGTGGTTGTTTTAAAGGGCTTTATAAATAAAGTATTATTATTATTATTATTATTGCTGAGCCAAAACATTCTGTCATGAATATTTCTGCATCTGTTGGTGATTCTTTGGTGTATAGAGTTATATTGCATTCTTCCACGTTTGTTGTATCATTGGTTATTTTAACACTCTCAGCTTTGTGCGGACAGTCTTTAACCCAGTGAAAAGTACTTAGGCACACTGCACATTTTGATCGCCGCCCATACTTATCCAACGGGTTTGTACCGGGCTGTGGAGTGCTGAACTGTGGAGTTTTCTGATGAGTATTTTGCCGCCAGGACTTGCCCTTTTGCCACCGTTGCTCTGTTACAAACACAGACTCTTGGTTAATATTTTCTGCTGTCGCACTCTTTTTTTTTTTTTTTTTTTTGCCAAATATTCTCTTCAAAGCAGACTTCATTGAAGCAAAAGTTATATCTGAACATGCCGTTAGAGCCAACTGTCTGTCCGTCATATCCAAACAAGCAGTGGCCAAAACAGCGTCGAGTAGCTCCATGTTGTATTTTTTCATGCGCGAGTAATGCTACTCGAAATCAATAATATAGTCTGCCATCGACATGTTTGCTTCTTTAATGACCCGGTCAAAATCTGAGTACGCTTCATAGACCCTGTCCTTTTCCTCTTTTAGGAACAAATCATCTAGTTTAGCTAACAATGTGGTCATTCCAGTGTCTTTATTTAGATAATCTACCGGAATTTCCATCGCCGTGTCTCGCGCCCTTCCAGACAGCGCCAGGGCGACAACAAGCGCTTGCTTTTTCTTCTCCAAATCTGTAACTCTCGTCCAAATGTTGACTTCATTCTTCCAACTTTCATAAGGCTTTCCTTCTTCAAACGTTGGTGGAACTCTGTAGTTGCTAACCATCCTCTGCTACCAATGTTGGTCAATAAAAATAACTTTTCCTTTTGGATCCAATAGAACTTTATTCCACCAAGTTCATCACAGCTCAACAACACTGACACCACCGAAGAAGAGTGTAAACCACATTCCCTTGTGCTACTGGCATGACAGTGCCCCCTAGCGGATTGGCATGCAAACTAAACCAAACAAAGGAGTAACATGGACTTCCCTGCTCAAGCTGCTGCCCCCCGCGACCCGACTCCAGAACAAGCAGAAGATAATGGATGGATGAATACCTCACTCATTCAATTCAATTCAATTCAAAAATACTTTATTAATCCCAAAGGGAAATTATTTGTTATAGATAGATCTCATAGATGTTGGTGAAGATTCTCAGTCATCCAGGACATGATGAATTCAAAAAACGTTCAATACAAAAACAACTGGACTTTATTTGTAACAGAAGACATTTCGCTCCTCATCCGAGGAGCTTTCTGAATTCAATGAGCAGAGAGTGAGAGATTCAGGTTATAAGGCTGAGTGAGATGAGACACACACACATATGTAGATTTGACAAGTCACACCTCAACACCGTAACAGTAGGGGTTTCTTAAGGTCTTTGTTACTCTAATTCACAGATGAGACCCCTCTGTTCCCATCAAGTGTGAAAACCCGCTGGGAATCTGTTTTAAAGTTGCATTATAGGCTTTTGAAAGTGGAAATCTGAGGCCTCCTCCTCTGTTAAGAGACGGCTTTTCCCTTTTTACATACATTGCTTCCTTCACCCCCCTCTCAAACCATCTGTGTTCTCGATCCAAAATGTGCCCTTTTTGGTCCTCAAAAGAGTGTCCCTTATCTGTGAGGTGGAGGTGAACAGCTGATTCTTGTCCAGAGGAGGTGGCTCTCCTGTGTTGAGCCATGCGTCTGTGAAGAGGCTGTTTAGTTTCTCCAATGTAGAGGTCTGGACAGTCCCCGCTGCACTGGACCGCATACACTACACCACTCTGTTTGTGTATGGGTGTTCTGTCTTTAGGGTGGACCAGCCTCTGTCTGAGAGTCCTGCTGGGTTTGAAATGTACTGGGATGTTGTGTTTGTTGAAGATCCTTCTGAATTTCTCTGATACTCCAGCAACATAAGGGATGACAATGTTTTTACGTCTGTTCTCCTTTTTCTGTTTATTAGTGTGTTTTCTAGATTTCCTCGCTGACTTGACAAAAGCCCAGTTAGGATATCCACATGTTAGAAGAGCTTCTTGAATGTGTTTCTGTTCCTTTTCCTTCCCTTCTGTCTTCGTGGGGACGCATTCGGCCCGATGTTGTAAAGTTCTGATGACAGAGAGTTTGTGTTCCAGTGGATGGTGGGAGTCAAACAGAAGATACTGGTCTGTGTGGGTTGGTTTTCTGTAAACTTCAATGTTAAGGCTGTCCTCTCTTTCCATCTGAACCAAACAGTCCAAAAAAGGCAGCTTGTTGTCATTTGCGTCCTCTCTGGTGAACTTGATGTTGTTATCGACCGAGTTAATGTGTCTGGTGAACACTTCTATTTCCATGGCTTGGATTTTGACCCAGTAATCCACATATCAGAACCAATAGCTTGGCGTTGTTCCCTCATAGGAGTGTAGGGCTCTCTGTTCCACTTCCTCCATGTAGAGATTGGCAACAATGGGTGACACTGGAGATCCCATGGCACAGCCGTGCTTCTGTCTGTAAAAACTGTCATTGAACTTGAAATAAGTGGTGGAGAGGCAGAGATCCAACAGGGTGCAGATCTGGTCTGGGGTGAAGTTGGTCTTGTTGATTAAGTCCTTGTCTTGTAGAAGTTGTTTTCTGATGGTTTCTACTGCTTCAGAGATGGGTATGCAAGTGAAAAGAGAAGTCACATCATACGATACAAGGGTTTCTCCTGGGGTTAGTTTCAAGTGTTGAACTTTGTTAGCAAAATCAATGGAGTTCTTTATGTGATGAGGTATGTTTCCAACAAGAGGAGCTGAAATACCAGCCAGATGAGAGCCATTGAAGATAGAGGGGTCTCATCTGTGAATTAGAGTAACAAAGACCTTTAGAAACCCCTACTGTTAAGGTGTTCAGGTGTGACTTGTCAAATCTACATATGTGTGTGTGTCTTATGTGTGTATGTCTTATCTCACTCAGCCTTATAACCTGAATCTCTCACTTACTGCTCATTGAATTGAGAAAGCTACTTGGATGAGGAGCGAAACGTTTTCTGTTACAAATAAAGTCCAGTTGTTTTTGTAGAAAGAGGAATACAGATAAACTCTGTTGAGCTCCAGTGAAGACACCAATCCTGCGAAAAGCACCACTGTGCCCAAGAGACATCCTGTGCCAGCAAGTTGCGCTCAGCTGACTGCTGAGGCTGGAGGTAGTGGAGTGTTTTCAAAGTTTTGAAGAGAGCCGGACCTTCAGAATACCGGCAAAGAACCATACAATGGCTCAGAACGAATCCAAATAGTCCAGTGGAATCTGGATGAAAAAGTTCAGATGAGCTCCGTGGAAGACACCGAACCTCCGAACAACGTTGTCCCGCCCAAGAAGCCACCTAAGCCAACAAGCAGCGCTCGGATTGACTGCTGACCGCTGGGGATAGAAGTAGTCCTGGTCCAAATCCCTGGTTAGTTCCGTACGGCTCTCTGCAGCCAGTGACCAGCAAAGACACTTTGAAGAAGGTCCAAACTTGTAATCAGGTTCAGATCAAGTAATTTTGTTGTTATGAGGGAGCAGAGATGCTGTCGACCGTAATGGTAGCAGGAAGTGTGACTTCGAAGTGTTAACTTTGAAAGTTTGTGAGCTGAGACAAATAATATTTGTAAAATTATGTCTGTTCGTTCAGAATGAATTAATATTATTTTAAACATCAAAAAAAAAGTCGGGTCTTCTGGATGTTCAAAAACCCCAAAAAATGTAGAAATGTTTCGTCTTTCATCTGAAAGACTTCTTCAGTCTCTTTCGGATGAAAGACGAAACGTTTCTACATTTTTTTGTTTTTTTAACGTCCAGAGGACCCGATTTAACTTTTTTTTTTTTCTACCTGGATTATAGAGCATGCATCAGATTATTTTAAACAGTTTCAACATCAAAACACTATATTGTTTCTCAAGGTGAGGTGATCTCTTTCTGAGGTGAGATGTTCTCCTGCAGAAGTAATTCAGCTTTATTATCAGTTTAATTGATTTAAAAAAATGATCGACTCAAGTCAGGCAGAGTAGATGGGACGAGTGGAAACGGAGTTTAAACTGTACCTCCTTTCTGAAAAAGGCTTATTAACTCAAAGAACGAAATGATCACTTGCACCAACAGTTGTTTTATTTTACAGGAAGACAACATGGCTTTTGGAAAACCTACAAAGTAAGCAAATAACAAAAATGAAGGGATTTTTAACAGTTTCATGCTAAAGGGAAATGATTGGAACCAGATCTGTATACTTTCTGTCTCCTCAGATACTGGATGCTGGATGTGAGCAAGGTGTACAGTAATGGCTGTAACGCCTGGGACCGAGCAGTGCACGACGCCTCAGAGGAGTACAAACACAGGATGGTAACTACAAGACTTCATATTCACTTTATACAGAATATTAACCACTGGAGTAATTTGTCTTTTTTTCTCCCAAAGCATAACCTGTGCTGTGACAACTGTCACTCACATGTTGCCATGGCGCTGAATCTGATGCAGTATGAAAACAGCACCTCATGGAACATGGTCAACCTCTGCCTCCTCGCTTTCATCCACGGAAAATATGTCAGGTAAGACGACACAGCCTGTGCAGTGTGCCTGTAGGTTCAGTCAATCATTGTACTCACACTTAGTCTATTAAAACAACTTACAGTTGTAATGTGTTACAAAACTGGGACTTATTCACACTCTTCCACATCAGCACAAGAAAGTGTTAAAGTTTGTGTGCTGCATGAAACATTGCCAGATTATAGCCTGCACTCTAATGACGCTTTGCTACTGTCTCAACTCTCATAAACTGTGCATGACATGGCACCGGTACCCACCCCCACTAGTCTCAGTTTATGCGACCACCTTGTTTGCTGTTCTAAGCGGGCTGCTCCGAGGGGCCAATTTTGATGTAAGCAGGCAACAACCAATGCTTGGCAAGCAGAGCTGCATCACTGGATGACTCGCCCAGCTAAACTGCAAACTACATCTGAACGTCCACTTCCTCATCATGTTGACGGACAGCGCCTCAAGAAATTAGCACATTTACAGATATGGTAAATATCGGAGATGATGGCACAAAATGACTACACACGGACTTATAAGCAACGCCGAGATAAGCTAATGAAATTCAAGTCAGATTATAGGGTGATTAAGGACCACAATGAGCGGAGTGGCATGAACACAAAGAGACCAGTAGCGATCCCGCCCACTTTGCATTGACGATCCCGCCCACATAGCGAGGAAACAGGTCAGCCTCCACTGTCGTGTAGAAGAACCGAGAAGAGGAAAGCTGAGTAGAGCCGCACTTACCAATGGCAAAGTGGCATAAGATGATTTTATTGCCTTTGTTTTGGTAAAGCCAAGGAGAATAAATATCCTGATGCATGCTCAATAATCCAGATCGAAAAATCTTTAGTTATATATATAAATAAATATATATATTTATCCACATGCATCACGGTGGCGCAACTGGTAGAGCTGCTGCCTCTCAGTGAGCAGGTCCCTGGTTCAAATCCCAGTCCAGGGGCCTTTCTGGGTGGAGTTAGCATGTTCTCTCTGTGCATGTGTGAGTTTTTGCCGGGTACTCCGGTTTCCTCCCACAGACCAAAAACATGCATGTTAGACTAGACTGATTGGTAACTAAATTGTCCCTAGGTGTGAGTGAGAGAGTGAAAGGTTGTTTGTCTCGTTTGTCTCTATGTGTCCCTGTGATGGACTTGCGACCCGTCCAGGGTGTACCCCGCCCCTCGCACAGTGATTGCTGGACATGGGCACCGGCGACCCCCATGACCCAAAATGGAAGAAGTGTGTAAAAAATAATGGATGGATGGATATTTATCCACAGAGTTACCATACCATACCACTTTATTTATAAAGCACTTAAAACAGCTACAAGGCCAACCAAAGTGCTGTACAGACAAAACAACAGGTAACACACAAAGCAAAATACAAAATGAGGTAAATCAGAATATAGACATAAAAACGATGCAGATAATGATGACAAACCACTGTGAAGCATACGGGATCAAAACACAGAACATCTTGTGTTGAAAGCTATTGAATAGTAGTGAGTTTTTAAACGGGACTTGAAAACCGAGAGGGAGGGGGCCTGTCTGACAAGCAGAGGTAACTCGTTCCAGAGTCTTGGTCCTGCTACAGAGAAGGTCCTGTCACCTCTGCGCTTAAGACGAGTTCCTGGAACTGTGAGGAGCAACTGGTCCGCTGACCTCAGGGAGCGTGGTGGGACATACGGTTGTAGCAGATCAGAGAGATGGGGGGGGGGGGGGGGGGG